CAGGGACAGTGGAGGAAATAACAAGGTGGAGCAATTTCCAAACACTCACAATACAGAAACTCTTATTCTTTTATTAGCCCCATGAAGAGCAGGTTCCATGAACTGCTGATAGTTTGTATAGTGCTGTGTGTTACAGAAAGCAACGCCCACCCATTTTATGAAATTTGTGTGCGCATTTACTTAGGCCTTGTCTTCATCAGAAGTGGCAAGCATTTTTAAGTAAAGCTCAAATTTTAAATGTCTGTGTTTTAAAGTGGTATAGGAAGCTGGTTAGGCACTGCTAGGTCGTTCTCTACATGTGTAAGTTGATCCAAATGAATATAAGGTGTAAATTTAAAAGCTGTCCCTGAGTAACTCGATGAGTGGACACTTCTTTCAAAGTGGGTTAAGCTGATCAGGAGTGAAGTTTGGAATTAGTTCATTTATGGCATTAATTGGGCACAACCTTAGTTGTTGACATGGCCTTAATTTGGTTTTAACCAGGTTTATTTCATTTTAGTTGAAGTCAATTTAATCTGTAGCAAAATAAGCCCCAAGTGTTGTTAAATCAAAATAGGGATATTCAGATGGGGCTCTGCCACAGTTTAACTTAAATGGTTTTAAAAAATAGTTAAGTCTGAACTCATGCAACTTCCTTCTGTCACCAAGGCCCTTTGTAATTATCAAGAGCGAAAGAGATGTGGCCAGGACCTTTCCACCTAGTTCAGCTGTGGATTTAGGACTAATCCACACACAACTTTGAACTGGCTTAATTTAGAGTAGGTAAACTAGTGCAGATACTAGTGTGGATGCTCTTATTTCAGACTATTTTAGTTTAGTTTATGCTGATGCTTAATCAGTTCAAGACTGAACAGAGGTAAATCTGGATTAAAACAAAATGAGTGTCTCCACAGCCTGTCATGTACTGGCTTAGCTAAATCCTTTTAAAATTGCTCCTTATGCTCAATTCTGCATATAATCAAGCTCTTAGTTTAGTTTCTCTAGTTTAAAATAGAAGTTCTACAGCCATTCCCTTATGACGTTTAGGAGATGTATGCATGCTTTTAGCAAGTACATGTTTCTTTGTCTGCTGCTGTCGTCTTGTTGATAGCTCATCTCTGGTGGATTATAGAGGAAGATGGAAGGTCCCGTCATTTTTCCTAAAACCCTAAATGCAGGTAGCCCTAACTGCTGGATTTCCCTGGTTGTTTCTTCAGGCTTTTGGGTGTTGACTGTATCTATAAATGAGGTTAATTAAAAAAAACCCAACCCGAAACAAACCAAAAACAACTTTTCTCTTTGCAAAATTAATTGTTGGATGTAGCAGCAAATTAAGAAAAAAGCCCCTTCAAAGGCTTTGTTCTAATAACGCAAGGCAAAGATGCTGTTACTGCGGTGAATGTTCGAAGCACAGTAAAAAACGAAGGGTTAACAATGCATGGATTTCAAGGGGCTCTGTTTAGTTTCCTTCGTTTTTATCTTCTGGTTTTGTTTTTTTTATTATTTTGTTTAGTTTTGTTTTTGTTTAATTTCTGTGTTCTGGCCACACCCAGGAGAACCGTCTGCTTTTGATTTCTCCCTTTACGGTTACATGGTAAATTTTCTTTCTCATTCTTCAGAGATGGAAACGTTCAAAAACTATATATATATATTTATTTATTTTTTACACTGCTCATCCTGTTGCTTGTTATTTATTGCAGAATCTGAGGCCAGACTAAAAGGGTGACAGTTACTCGGTTTCTTCAGGGCCCTTGAACACACCTTTGGGAAAAGAAGGGGATACTGCAGGCTGCAAATTGCTCAAACGTTCTAGAGCAGTGGTTTTCAACCTGGGATCTGCGGACACTTAGGGGTCTGCAGACTGTCTAAGGGGTCTGTGAAAGATGACTATGATCAATCACAAGTATGTGAATACCCACACTTACAATTCAAAAGGGTTCGTACCTCCATTTGAAAATTTTGAGGGGTTTGCAAATGAAAAAAGGTTGAAAACCACTGTTCTAGAAAGATTTCATTGGGGGTACTCAGTGCTATCCATATACATGGAGGTTTGATCTTATTCCCTACTGGGTGATGAGTTAGTGGCAAAGTGATGGTGGAGGGGTATGGGGTGGAATGCCCAGCCTTATAATTATTGTAAGTCCTATTGAACCTAGTTTAGAAAACCCTGAATTTCTGTTGACCCAGCACTTTATTCTCCTTTGATTTGCCCCAGTATCTACTGCTGTGGTGAGAGCATCCACCACTGTATAGCTAAGCTACTCAATATTGTTCTCTTGAAACAATGACTTTTTTTTTTTTTAAACTAAGACAGGAAGTCTTGAGCTTGAGGAAAATGTCTTGGATATGTTAATATATAAATGAGATATATACATGATTTAGGTCCCCAAAACAATCTTTCTTCTTCGCAGGTCACTTTTCAAAGGACTTCTTAAAAATCAGTTACATACTTTTTCCTCTCCCCTGCAGCATGGAAAACTTAAAAGAAATGAAAAATTCTGCAGGTTTTGCCTTAGCAGTAAGTCAGCTCTGGTCTTACTTACTTTTCTAGGAGTTTTACTTGGAAGTCTCTGACATGCATTATGAGGTCTTATGCTCGACTTGAGAGGGCAAAGGTTTTGAGTCTTTAACACTAGCTATTCTCCAAAGTGTTAATTCAATACTGAAATTAAATGGATGTTAAAAACAGAGTTGTACAGTCTGGCTAAGGGCATGTTTATGCTTTAGGCTGGAACCAAAACATAATTAATTTTGTTTTAATTCACACTTTTAAGTGCATCAGTCCTGGTCTGTGTGTAGATGTTTACATGGTAGTGAGAGTACTCAAAAGTTTAACTTGTAAGGTTTTTTAAAACATTGTTAAAGCCAGACAAATTCCATTTGAAATGATCTGAAATTAGTGTCTGCACACAGACTTGCATTATTTATAAAAGTGGGAATTAAAATCAGTTGAATCTGGTTCTAGTCTGTATGTAATAGGCCATAAAAACCCCTGCCCCTCCGTTGCAATTTTTTTTATAACACTGCAGAAGACATAAATTATATTAAATCTCCACAGTGTCTCCTCAGGCAAACCAAGGCTGGTGGTTTTCAAGTTAAACAAAGACAACTACAACCTCTGTGCCCCTGCCCCACTCCCCCCGGTTGTTTTTTAAACAGAACTTTCCAGGATGCCTTTCTGAAGCCTCCAGAATAGAACAGGGTACCAGGATATTTTTTTTTCATTCTTTATAGTTTGCCTTTAAAACATCTGTAATATACCTTTCCTTGATGAACTGCTTCGTTCCCAACCCTCCACAACATGTTTGTGCCAGGTTTCAGGAAAGGTTTTTACTATTTCTGGTTCATTTTTAGCCCTGATCTACTGATACATGTTGATTTATTTCAGCAGAAAACTTTGAGGCTACTGCAAGGGGATCCACACTTGTTAGTCATATTGTTTGTTTTCTCTTTGTTAAATAATGAGAACGATGTAATTAGCTGAAAGTTTAGGTTCTTAGGTAAGGAGGAGATTCTGCTATAGAAGCGAGCATTAAAATCATCCACCAAGATTTTTTTTCTTCCTGAACAAAATAATAAAAAAGCCCATTTTTATCAAAGTAAAACAGCTTTATGCTTAAAACCCAGTTATGAAGGATAAATACCAACACTCGTGAAGGAAATCAGTTGAGCCCTTTCAGGTTCTTACTATAAAACCTTAAAGGGCACTTAAAAATGATAGCCCAATTGCTTCTTGCTGTTAACCTTGGTTAAGAAATCCAGATGCTGCTTCTGTATTTTATTCTTTATGTATGGTGTCCTGCTGCAGAAAAGGGGCTGCAAAACTGGGATGTTTTTTCCCTAGAAAAACATCAGTCCCAAGTACCTTGGCCTCTCTTCAGTATTAGGACTTTCAAACACAAGCTTGTTACCCTTGCTTTCCAGCGTGATGGTGTTAGCAGAAGTTCCTTGTCTGCATAGAAAACTAATGTTCAGTTTATACCAAGTCACAGAAACTAGGTACCCCTCTTACATTATGCAAGCATCTTCAAAGTAATCTGTGGTGAAACACTTATCTTGGACCATGAGTGCTAGGCAGATATTGAGAATAGCTGATATTGAGAATGAATGATGCTGAGAATTGCCAGAGCTCTCTCTTATGTCTCATTTCCTCCTGGTTAAATTCCTAATTCATTTAGTCATCTCAGACCTATGCTTGTGACAATGTACTTCATCCCCATGGGAGTGCATGTGATGTCATATGCTGTACTGTTGTATGGCTAAATTAACCAGTATAGGATGAGTCTTGCTGAGAAGAGATGAGTCTTGCTCTTGCCTTTGTATGTGGGGTGAGTAGGCCAGAGATGCTGTATCTAAAGGGCCATTACAGTAATGTTTGGATCATTCTATTTCCATTATAATTACACTGGCCAGCCAAGATAAAAAGATTGTTCTCCAGCTTCAGAATGCAAGACATCTAGAAATCTCCCTTGATCTCCATATGCAACTGAGAAGAAATGAGGGATATCATTTTGGAGAAGGGAATACTAAGATAGGGGCCTAAGTAGGAAGAGAGTAGCAGTTGGGTGGAGAATGTCAGCAAACTCCTGTCTACTTGTAGCAGCAGCATGCTTAGAAATGTCATTCAGATGGATCTGCTGTACTGATTGGACAATGGCAGTCCAATGATGACTCATAGCAGTTGGGTAGGGAAAATGTTTTGTGGTTTATAATAATGTATAATGCTTTACAGCTTCATTTCATGTAATCATTCTACTCTTTTACTGCCCTGAGCAGTGTCAGGGCCCTGTTGAACTCTGCCCTATACAGGCATAGAAGTAGGCATGTACTCTGCTCCGAAGAGCTTAGTATGGTGCTTTACAAACATCTAATCCTTTCACCTGTTCTCAAAGGTAGGTAAAATTATTCTCCCTATTTTACAGGTAGGAGAATTAAAGCATTAAAGCAGACAAGGGTGATTTGCCCATAGCCACGTAGGCGTTTATGTTGAAGCCAGGCTTAGAAGACCAAATTCTTAGTGCCCAGTTCTGAATCCAAACCATTCTCTTATCGTACTTCCCTCTCGCTCTTCCCTTTTCTCTCTTATAGCAGTCTTTAAACAGAACAAAGTGCCTTTCAAAATACACACACATATTGTACCTGTGTTTGGGGGTCCATGCAATAACACATGCATTAATTGGCAGTAACAAGAGATCCAGCATTTCTAGGTTAGAGTAAGGCCTGCTGTTTATCTTTAAGAATATTTGTCTCGAGTAGCTTTGTACTTCTTTTTTGGTCTGGCCTCAATTGCTTTTATGTTTTCTTTTTTATTATTATTTATTATTATTCTGATTACAGTTCCTTTTATTTTATTAAATTTAATTTATTTTATTTATGAAACATGCATGAACCAACAATGTGACTCTAGGAGAGTATTGCTGAGTTGTGCTGATGTTAATTTCATACTGTGATATTTTTTCTCTATTTACCTAGAGATCAGTATTTCAATATATAACGATGTGCATGTTTTCCCCCCTTCTCCCGCTGCATGCAGGGATTCGGGTTCGTAACTTTCGAGAATAGTGCTGATGCAGACAGGGCCAGGGAGAAATTACACGGCACCGTGGTAGAGGGCCGTAAAATCGAGGTGCATGTCTTCAGTAATTCAATTTCTTCTTTATATTTCTTCTTTTTTATTTCTTTTTTTGTCTTGCCTCACTTATTTCACATTTGGATCCCAGTCTTGTGTGTGCGTGTGTGTTTGTGTCTGTGTCCTTCACCTCCCTGCACTGAAATGTATAAAAGTGACACGCCTTTTAAAAAAATTTTACATTGTTTTGGAGATTTTCTTTACTTATTTTTTTCTTTTTTTAAGTTGTTTTCCCACCCACTCCAAATTTTTGCCCTTCTGCCTTGATTTTCCTTTGCTTCAGTTTGCGAGGTTCCGATTTCCTGTTATCAGGCCTGAATAAAAGTAACTGAAAGAGTACTGTCCGATTTCTGATGTGTCCAACAATAAAGCAGGGGGCCAGCCAGTATATCCCCTCTTTCCTTAGAGGCCAGTTCTCCTCCATATGAGTGTGAGATGAAATTGAGAGTGGGAAGGGGAGGGTAAAGGGGAAGAAGCCACACACACATGTTGTGGCTGCTTTCTTGATCTGTCTCGGAGTTCAAAATCTAAATCTAACTCTTAAAAATTCTGTCAGGAAAGTTGTCAATTGGAAGGGTTAACTTTGGCTGGCCGACGTAGCTATGTATGAGGCCGTTGCCTGGTGCTCACCCATTTTCTGTTCCACTGTGCTGAAGGCTAACTGGCATCTTCCCCTTCTCCCTCTTTCTTTTTTTAAAAAAAAAAAAAGGAAAAAAAAGTACTAAATATTTTAAAAGAAGAAAAAAAAAAGGAAATAAATAAATTTAACAAAAAAGCCG